AAAAAAAAAGAATATTTGCTACAGGGTTTGTTGCTTGTAGTTACAGCAGGGGAGTCATTCAGAGAATATTGCTATCTGGTGAAGCCAACACAAGCAAGGTGGTTTTACGACTTAAAAATTTAAATCGGTATGGGAAAAGAAGCAAGAGTATACCTTTTATAGTAATGCTTTTTATTTTTACCAAAGTGACAAAACTATAAACTAGAACCAAATGTTCAAAAAAAGAAAAGGTTAACAGAACATAAATAATGTCTGATAGAAACTGGGAGTCTTGTATCGCAGTACCTTCACATGAGGGACTCGCTGTTAACAATTTTGGAATGCATGCTATGCAGTAAATGTGTCCTTAACTTCATTCCTCATTATGCTTTTCTGTCACTCAACCAAGCTCCTGACTTGAGGGCTAGGGGGCGACTGAGGGAGCACCAGATCTTGATTTTTTCAGGTCTTAGAGGTGTAGCATAGCTGCTTTACAGGGTAGCTGCATAGAAACTCAGAGCATCTTAATACTGGCCTTGCAGCCTTTAAATTGGTTACTAACTTAAATATATGATGTCTTGACTTAAGTGATTATAGCTTTTAGTTCCATTCTAAAACACCTATGAAAATAACTGGAAAATATACCCTCCCCCCGGGGAAACCAAGAGTTACAACTTTTCTATTAGAAGTACAATAAGAAAAGAAAAATGAGCATGTTTCATGTTATATTAAATAATGCAGCACTTCCAGCTGTGCTTTTAAATGTGAGCATCTGTTTTAACTACAAAAGTAATATCTATAAATTTGACTTAGAATCACATGTATAAAAATTGATTTAAAAGAAAGTATCCAACATTTGCAGAAATATATTTTCAGTAACGTTCACAAAAGTATGTATAGTGGTAAGAATTTGGAAACCATGTATATAAGTATTCTTGGTAGAAAATGTGTAAGTAAATTAAAGCCATATGATTAGCCATTTTAAAGATTTCTATAATAACATGTGAAAGATGCTTAATATATAACTGAAAAAAGTAGAGGATAAAATTGAATGTACAAAGGACAATAGATTAAAAATAAATATTAAGAAGATAATAATTTCCTAAAGGGAAAAGTTGATTTGGAGGTAATTTTTCAGTTACACAAATTATAGAAGGGATATTGTCTTTTCCTGCACATATTCAACTCTTAAAATTTGTATAAGATATACAATATTGTCGAAGTGTGTTCACATTATAAATTGTTCTTGGCTTCTGAAATCTGACCTAAACTTAGTTCTGGTTCCTAACCACTCATTCACTCCAGAAATACTTATTAGCTCCTCCTATGTACACTTCTCATGGCACACTTAGCATAGCCCTGGCTGAAAGGACTGCGGAAAACATTCATTCCTTGAGTTGAAATACTGAAGGATTCTGTGGGCAAAAAATAAAAATTGTTGGGGGAAAAAAAATAAGATGGAAAAAATACACAGTTACTATACTAAAAAGAACTAGTCAGTATTCAGCCATTTCAAGAGGTAGCTTTATGATCAAGAACCAGTACTATTGAAGGAAGAAATTGAAGCTGTACTTGCCAAAGGCATCATCCAAAATCAAGGATCCAGAAATTGATTGAATATGAATTGAAATGTCTCAACAAGCCGGTTAAGCCCTGGAAGCACTCAACTCATCTATGCCAAGAAATTTTGGACGACAGCTACTTGACCAGCCAACTGGAAGATCCATATTTGTATTCACCCCAAAGCAAGGTGACAGACCCAATAGAGGAGGAGACTTCATTAATATCAGATGCAAGTAAAATTTTGCTGAAGATAATTTCAAAATAGTTGCAACAGTGCATTGACAGGGAACTGCTAGAAATTCAAGCTGGATTCAGAAGAGGACATTACACAAGGGATATTGCTGGCATTAGATGGGTTTTGACTAAAAGCAGATAATATCAGAAAAATGTTTATATATGTTTTATTGACTATGCAAAGTTATCCTCCAAATCAAGACAAATATTGATAGCCTTAAAAGGAATGGGAATTCCAGAATACTTCCTTGTGTTCATGTAGAACCTGTGCATATATCAATAGGCAGTTGTATGAACAGAACAAGAGAGTACTGCATGGTTTAAAATCAGGAAATGCATGTGTTACAAGGTTATGTCCTTTCACCATACTTAATTCTATCTGTGTACTGAGCAAACCATCTATAAATCTAGACTATGTGAAGAAAATGGCATTAGGATTGGAAGAAGGCTTATTAACAACTTGTGATGTGCAGATGACACAACATGCTTTCAGCAAGCAAGGAAGACTTGATTTGCTGATGAAGATCAAGGACTGTAGCCTTCAGTATGAATTACAACTCAATGTTAAAAAAAATAAAAATCTTCGCAACTGGACCAATAGACAGCATCATGATCAGTGGAGAATAAATAGAAATCATCTCATTTTACATGTATCCAGAGTCAGTGCTCATGGAAGCAGCAGTCAAGAATTCAAACAACATGGTATATTTGGCAAATCTACACAAGAGCAAAGGTGTCACTTTAAAGTCTAAGGTCCGCCTTACCCATGTCATGATATTTTCATTCTCATGTGCATGTGAAAATTGGATGGTGAATACAGGAGACTGAAGAAGAAATAGGTGCATTTGATGTATGCTATGGACAAAGAAAATGGAAAGTACCACAGACTGCTAGAAGAACAAATTTGTGTTGGAAGAAGGACATCTAGAATGCGGCTTAGAATTGAGCATGAGGAGTCTTCATTTCGCATCCCAGAGACAGGTTATCAGAAGGGACACGTCCCTGGAAAGGGGTATCATGCTTGGTAAAGTGGAAGGCCAGTGAAAAAGAGGAAGACTGTCCAAAAAATTGACAGACTGACAGAGCCCGGGCCTGCACCAGTGGGCTCAGGCATAGGGACAATTGTGAGGCTGGCGCAGGATGGACGGGGTTTCCTTGTGTTGTGAAGAGGGCTGCTATGAGTCCGAAGCTACTCCACGACACCTGACAGCAGCAAACAGCAGACTAGACTGGACTAGACCTGCCCTTATTCCTTATACAGTCTAAAGAAATGCCCCTATCTGCTTCCATTGTGTACCAATAGGGAAGTGAATCTTTTCAGGACTGAGAAAAGAATGTTAAACAAGTTGTTTCAGTGACTGATGTTCATTAATTCCATCAGTGGTTTATGATAACCTCTGCTTTGGTCATTGGGAATAATATGAAAGCAAAATGAGTATGATTCTCTTATTACCATCTTGTCGGAGAGAAAATACTAAACAAAGAAATAAATATACAAGGGGTATCCAAAATAGTTCATGGTAAAATGGAATTAAAAGATAATGGAATTATTCCACAAATATTTTTGAAGTCCCTTCATATAATTGTACAATCAGTGCTACTGCAGCAACTAACATAACAAGAGACAATAATGGGAGAGGAGCTGTTTTAAATTGAGAGGGACGGTTAGGCTGCCATCTGGTGGTAGATGACAAGGAACCAGCGATCCATATATTAAGCAAAATAGTCTGAGAGAAACAGCCTGGTAAAAGTCCAGAGGGAATGATACGGATACATTTAAGAAGCAAAAAGTACAATGAGGTAAGAGCATATTGAACAGATTGGTGAGATGGCACAGGTGACCTTGGAATTCTTGGCAGCAGCCAGATTTTTCAGGGTGCTAAATATTCAGAAATTTTGTGTCATATTATGATGGCAGTAGGAAGTCATTAGTGAATTTTAAAACAAGGAAATATACGATCCTATGACTGCATGTGATAGAATGAACTGGGAATTCACGGATATATATAGGTTTAGTAGAGGATATTTATACTTATTATTTACCTTTGCTGCAAATACATCCACAAAGATAATGGAGCCTACAGGGGTGAGGTTATGAAAACTTCATACACATAACCAAACACCTTGGGGAATGAGCCACTGGACTTGGGGGCTCATGACCATGTGCTCAGGGACATCAAGGTCCAGTGGCATAGCACAGTCCAATATTCTACAGCCTGCATCCTTTGGTGAATAGCAGGTGGGGTCTTAAATGCTCGCAAGCAGCCATTTACGGTGCAACTATTGGTCTCCAGCTGAAGGAAAGAAGAGTGATGGAAATGAAAGACACAGGGATACAATTAGTCTAAGGGACGAATAGACCAAACAGATACCAAGATCCATGAACTTGAAACTAGAAGAACTAGATAGTATTCACCTATCACTAACTGCTCTGAGATGGATCACATTAGGGAGGTACTGCATAGAGTGTGAGAAAAATGTAGAACAGAACTCAGTATCATTAAAAAAAAAATGTTTGTTTGTTTTTTAAAGACCAGGCTTACTGCTCCGATAGAGACTTGTGGGAAACCCTGAAATGATGGCCCTTAGTTCCCTTCAGCTCTAGAAATGAACTTGCTTCCATGGCTCAGATTTCAGCCAAACATCATAAGTGCTCGGCAGGTTGACCCACCTTAACATAATCAACTCTTTGAGACCAAAAGCACAATATTTACCTAAGGACAGGATTCAGAAGAGGTAAGAAAGGAAGAATGGAAACAGGAGATAGAGGGAAGAAGTAAGGTATATGATGTTATATTGTGGGGATTTCAATCAATGAGATGAAATAAAATGTCTGAATTGTTGAATGGAAAACTAATCTACTCGGTAAACCCTCACCTGTTTCATAATAAAAGGTTATTCGAAAATAAAGAACGGATTAGGAGATGCCAAGAATGAGGGTTACTGGATCTAATTAGGAGATGATTATAGTCTGGACAAGAGGTATAGTGGCTTATTATATAAGGGTGGTAGCAATAGAAATGAAAAGACAAACACGTGTTTAAACGTGTTTGTGATCAGTCGATGACTGCAGACAAGTTTTCTGTCATGCGCTTGTCTCAGCTCACTCATCAGGGTGCCTTTAAACAAAAGTGCAATCAAAACAATGGTTTCCAAGGGGATCTGCTGGGTCAGTTACATTCAAGACAGGAAGGATGGCTCAACAGGTATGGCAACTGTTCAGGGGGAGATTTCAAACAGGTAATATTGCTAAATTTTCTCAAAGGACACAGGACAATCATAGGGTCTTCTATGACATTGCATTGGTGAAAAAAAGGAGTGTTGTGCCAGGGAATGGTTTTTCCATCAGGATGATACATTTGTTTATCTTTGAGGGGAGCAAGGGATATCCTGTCCTATGAGAATTTCATTGGGCAGCCTTACCCCTCCCACCCTCCAGGGCTGATCTTGCCCCTCCAGACTTCGTTTTAGTCCCCAAACGCAAAGAATATTGAAAAAGGAATATGATTCAAGCCCTTTAAGGATGTCAACCTCCCTCCCCCCCCCTCCCCCAGTCTCCAAAGACTTTATTGTATTGGTCAGTGTGCTTTGGAAGGAGACAGGACATCAATCCTACTGCTTCCAACCCCAGAGGAAGAGCTGTACACAGGACAGGCACAGTGCCAGTGGGCCCACGGGGATGGGACTGCTCTGTCCGCCTCTCGCTCGTAGATCCAGTCATAGCCCAAGACTTGTCGTCCACCAGTTCCTCCGGCTTAAACCGGAGGCTGATTTCTTTCTCAGCGCTCTTGACCGAATCACTGCCATGAGTGATGTTCCTGCCAACTTGAACACAGAAGTCCCCTCGGAGGGTGCCTGGCTTAGAATCCGCTGGGTTGGTCTCTCCCAGCATCACCCGGCCCGTCTTCACCACATTCAGCCCCTCCCAGTCCATGGACACAATGGGTCCCGAGTTCATGTACAGTACGTACTTCACCAGCCCTGGGAAGAAGGGGCGGTCTTTCAGGTCAACGAAGTGCTGCTTCAGGTGTTCCTCGGAGGCCTGAACGAGCTTCATGGCCACCAGACAGGAGCCCTTCTGCTCAAAACGCTTGATGATGTCGCCCACCAGGCCGCGCTGCACGCCTTCCGGCTTGATGGCGATGAAGGTGCGCTCGCTGTTGGCCACGGTGCGATCCGGCGGCGGGGAGTGGGCAGCCGAGTCGGCGGAGCTGGAGCAGAGAGCCAACCTCCCATTTTTATGTGATACAAGTAGAAGAGTGGAGACTCTTCATGGAAGCATTAGATAGAAGCAAACAGTGCCTTTAGAAGGGTACAAATCTGTGAACAGTAAATTGAGTTCTTCGGTACCATTTGCTCCGGGTCACAGAAAGCTCAGAAGGCAGAAGGGTAGGAAAGAGGGACCTCAGTGGTAAGTGCAGAGGAAGTGGGAAAAGTGCTGTTACATTGTGGGGGGTGCAGTCAGTTTCACAAAACAAAAAATCCATGTGAATTGTTGAATGGAAACCCAATTGGCTCTATAAACTTTGATCCAAAGCACAATGAAAAAAAAGTGTATAGACTTAGAAGGAGGCTATTTCTAGATAGCAACTTCACCTTTTTTATATATTTTTTTTATCAAAGGCCCCTGATTGTGTAGCAGTACTTTTTATTTACACGCACGTCAGTGTAAAACACATCGATATAAATAAATTGGAAGGGACGTGGAGGTTCAAGAGAATAGATGCCCTTTTCTCTTTTCATTTGTTTAATAAATCATTTTATCGGGGGCTCTTAACAGCTTTTAAAATAATCCATACATCAATTATATCAAACACATTAGGGTATTTGTTGTCGTCATCATTTTCAAAACATTTTCTTTCTACTTGAGCCCTTGGTATCAGCTTCTCTTTTCTTTACCTCCCTCCCCCACCCTCGTGGACTCTTGATAAATTATTATTATATTTATATCTTACACTGTCCGCTGTCTCCCTTCACCCACGTTTCTGTTGTTCATCTCCCTGTGATGGGGGTGGGGTGTAGATGTCCTTTTCAGGAGAGGTGATATTGCTTCTAGTTTGGGTTGTTGACTTGTAAAATATTGGAGAAATGATTGTTCTTCTGCTGGTTGCAGGGAGATGGCTGGATTTATCACAAGCCCCTTTGGAAAACCGTTTCAGCAGCCCAAGCAGCAGAGTGACGTGGGCACCGTAAGACCCAACCGAGTCCGGTTCTTCTCTGTTTGCCCTCACCCGCCGCATAGAGTCGCTGCACTGCGGGACCTGCTTCCTGATCACACAGACTGAACCTCGCTCAGATTGAATGTCCCTGCTAGGCCAGAGCAGGACCAAAGCAAGACCAGTGGGGTGAAACACAATGGCCCTCTAACCGCCTTCTTTCTGTGATGTGAGCAATATCATCCTAAAACTTTTTACTAAAGCCCTGGATGACTCCTCTTTTATCCAGGTCCTGCTCCTAAAGCTCCGAAAGATTGAAACCCGTATGCACAGTGGCAGCGGACATATACACCAGTGAGAACCTAGTGATTGCTCGATCCCTCCTTAAAGTAAAAAGTGGAGTATCTTTCCAAATTTGTGCTTTGCTTTCTGTTCGTAACTGAAGTATTCATTACTCTTATAAACAGACCACGAGGAGGAGGAAGATGGCCCAGAAGCGGAGTCAGCCATTGTGCCTGAGATCAGTGTTAAAAAAAAATCAACCCGGTTGTAGTAGCCAGACCTTCGCTTTCTTCACGGAGATGGTGTGCCTGTGTTGGAGGATCTTCTTGTCCCTTATCCACCTCTGTTGGAACACTTTTAAAAGTCTCTATTTATAAATTGATTAGAATTATAACCATGGAGAATTTTACTTCGGAACATTTTAATATACTTGAAAACAACATTGACTTGAAAATTTTCAGAACATTTTTCAATATCTAGTTTTATTAAATATTACACTTGAAAGACAATTTTTAAAAATGTGCTCATGTTGCTATGTGGTTTTTGGCCTTCAAGAACTAAGGCATTAAATAGCAGACATTAAAAAAAAAAAAAACCTGTTACTTTTTCTCCTTTTTTTTTCACTGATAGGTTGATATACAGTATTATATGCTATCCCCTGGATAAGTATGCTTCATGTCTGTTCACTCAAAATTTAGTCCAGCTGTTCATATTTGTCCTTAAGAGAGCATGTCAAGGTGCGGTTTTATTATATTTCCAAGGAAACCTAAAAGCTGAAGAAAAAGTAGGAAATAAAGTATCAGGAAATTGTATTCAGGTGTACATTTTAAAAAATAGTATTTGATTGAGGTTGAAGAATTGCTGGTAATTAGAAGAATAGTGCTAATTATGGCTTCCCTCATTCATTCAAGTATTTATTGAGCACTTGCCTCAGGTGCTCAACATTTGTATTACAAGCTACCTTCATTTTCCAAGAGTGGTGCCTTACTCTGTTTCTTCTGATGTGGTCTTCCAATCAGTGTGTGGAGCGTGTACCTGTTGGTCACCAGCCATGGTAGGGCTGTGTCTGCTGCATCACATAAATTTAAGCTTTGTGCTCTGATAAATTGTGTTTCATTAAAGAGTTTAATAGCGTGAAAACAAAACCATTTTTCAACAAATTGTAATTAATAAGAATTGGTTTCCACACAACCATTTTAATGATTCCCTTGTTCGTTTTTGCTGTGAAATGCACTGAAAAATCTCAAAATGAATCCTACCTAGTTCAAGTGTTGGGAAAATTGAAAAATAATAAAGTAGCAAACAATGATGGCTTTGACTCTTTTGTAAATGGAGGGAAGTAGAATGTTTATATTTAGTAGAGTTTTTACCATATTCATTTGGGATAGGACATTGGTTTTACTCTTAAAATCGTTATTTTCAGCAATCTCCAGCTTAGGGAATAAATATAATAAGTGTTTTTATGATTCTGTCTGTTTCACTCTCTTAATAATCCTTAAGGCATCAGGAGAGAACGAACGCAAGAATAGACAGCGAAACCAGAGATGGTTGGGTTTGTGTGAACTCTGCATGTTCATTGATCTCTTAGTGGTTTGGCTGTTTAAATAATTAATGAAGTGCAGTTTTAAGTTTCAGATGAAAAGCAAAACATTTATGAGTCACTAAAATCAACCCCAATTTACTGAATTACCTTTTTTGTTTTTAAGATCATTTTATTGAAAGAAAAAAAAAAGATCATTTTATTGGGGACTCTTAAATCTCTTAAAACAATCCATACATCAATTGTATCAAGCATATTTGTACATATATTGCCATCATCATTTTCTAAACATTTACTTTCTATTTGAGCCCTTGGTATCAGCTTCTCTATTTTCTCCTCCCAACTCTACCTCCCCACCCTTGTGACCTCTTGATAAATTATAAATTATTATTTTCAGCCACTGTCTCCCTTTACCCACATTTCTGTTGTTCATTCCCTGGGGGTGGGGGTGGGGCAGGGTATGGGTCGATCATTACAATCAGTTCCCCCCTTCTCCTCCCACCTTCCTTCAACCCTCCTGGTATTGCTACTCCCATTTCTGTTCTTGAGGGGTTTATCTGACCTAGAGTCCATGTGTCCTGAGTTCTTAGTTGTACCAGTGCACTTGGTCTGTTCTGAGGAAGCCTCAAGGAACCAGAGGAATATTGTGTGTTTCATCGGAGCTATACTGTGTGCCCTGGTGGGACTCATCCCTTCCTTATGACCCTTCTGTGAGGGGAATATCCCATTGTCTACAGATGGCTTTGGGCAGTGGTTCTCAACCTGTGGGTCATGCTCCCTTTGGGGGTCAAATGACCCATTCACAGGGGTTGCCTGATTCATAACAGTAGCAAAATTACAGTTATGAAGTAGCAACAAAAACAATTTTATGGTTGGGGGTGGGGTCACCACAACATGAGGAACTGTAAGGGTCGGGTTATTAGGAAGGTTGAAAACCACTGACCCCTGTTCTCAAAAATGTTTATTTTTGTTTTGGGTCTTCTGATGCCTTCAATTAATCCCCCCCCCCTTTTTTAAAAGATCATTTTATTGGGGGCTCTTACAATTCTTTTTTTGCGGGGGGGCTCTTACAATTCTTTTTTTTGGTGGGGGGCTCTTACCATTCTTGTTACAATCCATACATCAATTGTATCTGACGTATTAGTACATAAATTGCCATCATTATTTTCTAGACATTTCCTTGGGATCAGCTCCCCCCCCCCTTGATAGATTATAGTTATTTCATATCTCACACCGACCGCTGTCTCCCTTCCCCTCTGGTTTCTATTGTTCTGTGGCTCCTGGATAGGGGTGTGTAGTTATGTGCCCTTCATTGCGATCGGTACCCCCTTCCCCATTCCCGTTTGGTATTGCTATTCCCATTGCTGTCCCTGTGTCCGTGTGTCCTCAGCTTTATCTCTTATCTATACCTATGTACATGCTCCCGTCCAGTCCATGGTGAGAAGCAGTGCTGGTATATTGTGTGATCCATCGGTGCTCTACTGTACCCTGATTGACTCATCCCCTCCTTGCAACCCTTCTGTGGGGGATGTTTTTTTGTCCACAGATGGACTTTGGGTCTCTGCTCCAGCCCCCCTCATTCTCACCAATGCGTTTTTGTTATGATTCTTCTGATAACCTGTTGCTTGGTCCCATGACACCTCATGATCTCACAGGTTGGTGTGCTTCTTCCATGTGGACCTTCAATTAACTTTTGACAATAGTGCAACACTGCCACTTTAGAATCTTTTTTGCCTGTCCCCTCTTCTGAAAGATGTCCCACTGCTCTCTGCATGCACACGTGTGTGTGTGTGTGTGTGTGTGTGTGTGTGTGTGTGTGAGAGAGAGAGAGAGAGAGATAGAGTGTGTGTGTGTCCCTCCCTTCCTGCTTCTCTTCCTTAGTCAGAATGGACTTAATACTTGTAGGTTTGGTTTTTTAATTTTTTCTTCTGGTTATTAGGTCTTGTGTGTTCAGAAACCAAAGTCAAATGACAAAGAGGATTTTTCAACCTTTTAGCAGGGGTGCATTAGGGTGGGGTTATTTTTCTTCTTTTTAAAGCTATAGTGACACTATAGTGCTACCCTATGACTTCTGTGAAATTTATATATAAGTCCCATCTTCATGTTTCAATTAATTACCTTTGAACAGAGAGCTTTTAAGCCCTTAAAGGTAATTTTACTTTGCGTATTGGGTGAGCTATAGTATCTACATATTGATTCACTAAACTTTGTATCATATTTTCCCCAATACATATCATTGCCATTAGAAATAATAGTAATTATCTAATGCTTTTAGATATAATTGTAGCATTTTTGCTTTGCTTCTACGATATAGCCTTAAGATGAGTGCTAACTTCAGCATGTCCCCCTGAAGAAAGGCAAATTACTGTGAGTGCTGCAGGATCTACACTTTGGAGGGGTTTTGCAGCCACTGCAGTGCTATAAGGTAAGCAGTGATTTGGTAATAATTCTACCAGATGGAGTTTAAAAATGGAAACTCTAAGAAGGTGTATATGTGTGTGTGTGTGTATATGTATATATATACATATATATGTATTTATATATGTGTGTGTATATATACACACACACACACATATATATATACACATATATACACACATATTCCAGTGGTATAAAATCCCTACTTTGTTCTAAAACCAAGTCGCACAAGAAACACATAGCACAAAGTATTTGATAATATTTCCATTTGAGATTCATAACAGCCCTATGAAAGTAGTAAGTCTTCTACAACTGTGTAGCTTAAGAAATGATACTTCTACAATTGAAGTTTCCCTGTGTCACCTAGCTTGACCTTCATTCACTCAACAAACCTCTGTTGTACCTTTGGAGCCAACTGGTGCTCTAGACTCTGATGTGACAAATACTATTCCTGTCCTCAAAGATCTGCCAGACCCATGAGAAGATGAATGAGAAATTAATACTGAAACTGTTGAGAACATTCTCTAACAGGACACAGGATCCTGAATACAGAGGAACCACACCTAATCATGTCACGGTATCACAAAACATACTCGAGAGGTGATGCTCGGACTGTGTCACGAAGCAGTGGAGTCTGAAGAACTTTAAGCATGAACTTCTGAAAGATGGAACTCTTGGCTTTTAAAAACCAGGAACTACTCTCTTTAGATCTTCAATTTAAACTGTCTTCTGAGGTCACCCTTTAACTAAATAGCAGATTGGATCATAAGATAAAAGAGTATCACCCAGGAGGACTGCCTGCCCTCCTTAAAAAAAATCATCTCTATGAGGCTAAATGGTCAAGGAAGACTAAAGGCAAAATGAGGTGACCGAAAACTCTAAAAAAAAACCCCCAAAAACACTGCCACTGGGTCCATTCTGATTCATAGTGAGTGACCCCCTGTGGGTTTCCGAGACTAACTGTTTTATGGTAGTAGAAAACCCAGTCTTTTCCCACAGAGCTGCTGCTGATTTCAAACTGCTGACCATGACCATGTGGAGCTCAGCCCAACTCATAACCACTATGCTCCCTGGCAGAGGACTAGATACTGGAAATAGAGCAACTAGAATGGATACCATGAGAATGTTGACACATTATGAAAAATGTAAACAATGTCAAATTAAACCCATACAGAAATTGTAAATGAGAAATTAGTTTGCTGTGTAAATTTTCACTCGAAATAATAAAATACTGTTTGGGTTCAGTAGACCTCTAAAGTGAATAACATCAGGGAGATATGCACGCTTTAGAACAATCAACCATAGAGTATCAGAAGGGCAGGATAAAAGCTCAGAAAGCAGGAGGAAATAGGAGAAAAGAGCCTAATGGAAGCAATAAAAGGGGGCGGGGCGGGGGTGGGGTGGGGGCGGGGAATGAGAAGTGTGCTGTTACATTGTGGGGCTTGCAATCAATGTCACATAAGAAAATGTGTATAGATTGTTGAATACTAAGCTAAATTGTAAATATTCACCCAAATCACAATAAAATGTTTTAAAAATATGTTGTGACAGTTCTGACGTCCAGGAGTCTAAATTGGTTTCCAGTCACTTCCTTCCTTGTTGGTCCAGTGGACATTTGTTTTGTTTGTTTTTTTCTTCTCTTTTTTTAACATTTTATTAGGGGCTCATACAACTGTTATCCCAATCCATACACACATCAATTGTGTAAAGCGCATTTGTACATCGTTTCTGGGGGGCTCTTGCAATTCTTTTTTTTGGTGGGGGGCTCTTACCATTCTTGTTACAATCCATACATCAATTGTATCAAGCATATTTGTACATATATTGCCATCATCATTTTCTAAACATTTACTTTCTATTTGAGCCCTTGGTATCAGCTTCTCTATTTTCTCCTCCCAACTCTACCTCCCCACCCTTGTGACCTCTTGATAAATTATAAATTATTATTTTCAGCCACTGTCTCCCTTTACCCACATTTCTGTTGTTCATTCCCTGGGGGTGGGGGTGGGGCAGGGTATGGGTCGATCATTACAATCAGTTCCCCCCTTCTCCTCCCACCTTCCTTCAACCCTCCTGGTATTGCTACTCCCATTTCTGTTCTTGAGGGGTTTATCTGACCTAGAGTCCATGTGTCCTGAGTTCTTAGTTGTACCAGTGCACTTGGTCTGTTCTGAGGAAGCCTCAAGGAACCAGAGGAATATTGTGTGTTTCATCGGAGCTATACTGTGTGCCCTGGTGGGACTCATCCCTTCCTTATGACCCTTCTGTGAGGGGAATATCCCATTGTCTACAGATGGCTTTGGGCAGTGGTTCTCAACCTGTGGGTCATGCTCCCTTTGGGGGTCAAATGA